TTTATTTATTTATTTATTTATTTATTTATTTATTTATTTATTTATTTATTTTTGGTCTTTTTGAGACAGGATTTCACTAAGCAGTTCAGGCTGGTCTTGAACTCACTTTGTACCCAGGCTGGCCTCAAACTCGGTGATCTTCCTGCCTCAGCCTCCTGAGTTCTGGGGTTATAGGCATGCACCACCACATTAGGCCTTAAAAATTTGTAAATAAAGAAAATTCTTTAGTTTTTCAATCCTTTCCTCATTCACATCCCTCATTTGGAGAAAAAAAATGAGGTGTAAAGACTTATGAAGGCACAGTTAGGATCTTGCGTACGCTGTTTAGACCTTAAATAACTCCCAGAATACCACATTGTGAAGGTTGTTCCCAGCATGTGCCAGTATTAGAAGGTGGCAGATCCTCTGGGGGCGGGAGACAGTGGAAGTTGGGTCACTGGAGCTGAACCTGAGAACAAACACTGGAGCTCTAGCTCTTCTCTTTCTCTCTCACACCTTGCTGGGCTTCCTCTACCATGCACTTCCCATCTCTACAATTTACTGCCTTGCCACAAGCCCAAAAACAATGAAGCCAGAGGACCATGGACTGAAATCTGTGACCGTGAGGCAAATAAAACTTTTCCCTTTTTAGTTATCTCAGCAATTGTGCAACAGTAATGAAAAGCTAACAAATACAGTGTAATTTTTAGCTGTTAAACATGCAGAACAGAGCTAGGAAAGGGGCTCGGTGGAAGTAATAGGCTTTCTCTCTGATAGATTCTTTGAGATGCTTACAAGCTAACCCCCCTAACCAAGTAGGAAAATATAAATTCTAATACAGACATAATTCCCATATCACACTAACTGAAAACAAGACTAATTTGTCAAGAACACAAGTAGGGCATGAAGAAATGAAATAGAGACAATATGTAATACACAACTTAATAATATGCACAGTACTGACATTACCTCGTATTGAGGGTGCCCTGCACAGATCAGAAGCAATTCCAGAGTTCGCAGGTCTCCAAGACCTTGGCCTGGAGTACAAACAATTTTTTCAAGAAAAGTTTCACAAAGTTCAGTGAAAATACGGCAATAATTCAGAACTCTGTAGAAGAAAGAGAGTATGACCACCAAGTCAGAAATCTGGATAGTATATATGTATATATACATATATAGAATTAAAGGAATAAAAGGTTCCTCAGCCTAAGGAATTACCTAGCATGCTATATCACAGTATCTACAGCAGACATCTTTATGTAGATCATCTACTTCTGCATAGATAAGCAAGTGACTGGTAAGTCAATTTAAATTCTCCATTATTAAAATAGTTGAATACAAATTCCCACCAAATTACAATTGGTGGGCTGGTGATACAGCTCATGGGCACAAGTGCCTGACTAATAAGCACAAGCTCCTGAGTTCGATTCCCAGTACCAAAAATAAAATAAAAACAAATTACAATTGGTGTTTTAAAGTTTACCATTAATTCTTAAACTGTTTCCTTTGTAAGTACAAAAAAATTAATACTTTCCATAACTGGTAATTTTCCAACCTCTCCTGCATCCAATTTGCCACTCTAGGTTTGGGTGAGAATAACAGAACATCTTTAGGACACACTGTTTTTATATTTAAACAGAACCACTGAGAATCACAAATGATAGCTATACAGTAAAGTGACTTACCCACAGCTTAGGGATGTAGCTAAATGACAAAGTGCTTACTTGCTCAGTATGTGGGAGGCCCTGGGCTCAATTTCCAGACTCAAAAAATAAAAAATCTTAAAAATGACTTAAAAGAATACCAGACTGTAGACACACCCAGAGGTCCAGCTTTAGTTACTCACTTGTCTAAATCTTCACGTGCCACAGCCATGTGATAGGCAGTCTCCAATGTCAGGACTCCCTGAAAGAGTTGCATGGCTAATGGCAAGTTAGTCTCCACATTCTCTATGGCATACAGAGCTGAGCACACACAGTCTGAAGCAGCTTCATGTAGGTTGGATGAGGTTTTATCCTGTTGCTAGAAGGTACCAGGCACAGAGACGTAAGAAATATGATCATTATAACCCAAGCAACAGCAAGACAATTACAGCCTTTGGTGAATACGTACTTTAAACATGTAACAGCCTAGAAGTCATGGCTTTCCACCAGACACATCCATCAATCCTCCCAATGCTGCTTCTGTTTTTTTTTTTTTTTTTTTTGGTTTTTCTCCGGTACTGGGAACCGAACTCACGACCCTGCACTTGCCAGGCAGGCACTTGTGCCGCTAAGCTAAAACCCCAGCCCCGCTGCTTCTGTTTTCTTGCATGCCAAACAAATCAGCCTTTCTGAACCTTACTCACTGACATCTGATTTCTAATATCCATGTTTTTGCTCAGACCAACCCCTTCAAATAGAATGCTGTGTGTTTGTCCTCCACCCTATTTCTATTTGTAGAAATCTTTTCTACTCTCTTTCTGATATGCAAGTACCACCTAAAACGAAATGGCTCAAGGCTACCCAAGGTTACAACACATCACTGTGAAGTGTCAAAATACCAAAGTTAAACAGAGGTTCTTCAAGTTTCTGAGGAAAAGTAATTTAGGTTTTTGTTTTTTGTGTTTTATTTGTATGGGTTTTTTTTGAGACAGGGTCTCGTAATGCAGTTTAGGCTGGCCTTGAGCTCAAGGACACTTTGTAGTCCTGGCTGGTCTCGAACTTGCAATGATCCTCCTGCCTCAGCCTCCTGAGTACTGGGATTACAGGCATGCACTACCACACCTGGCTAGGAGAAGGTAATGTAGAAGCAAAAAATCAAACAGTTCTCCAACTTCTCATTAACAATGACAGGCTAGGGGCTGGGGATTTAGCTCAGCGGCAAAAGCGCCTGCCTGGCATG